AACTCAGAATATATGCTCGAGCATGATTTGGAGGGTTGTTGAGATTAGGTATTGATTCAATTTTTAAAGATGAACGTAAAATGATTAAACATCTACTGTCATTTTTCCAACTGTTTCTCAGAAAATCAGTAAAGGCTTTTCTAGTGAAGATGAAGCCTCCGCTTATATATTGTGGAAAAATTGTGCGGAACATACACGGGATAAAAGAGTAATAATATTTTATTGAATCAATTCACAGTGAAAAAATGAAGTACAGCTTGTCAAAAAGAGGCAAACATGAAATTCAAGTTCAATCGAAAATATGTGCATAAGTAGCGCCAAAATCGGGAAATTTGATTTTCCGCGAAAGTCGGGTTACAACGCCCGCATAAACCCGACCGAGGAAACAGAGGAAACTCGCATTACAAACTCGGGTTTCGTGAAACCTCGGTTTTGAGCCTCGCATAAATGTAGCTAATATTCCTAGACTTTAAAAACCTTTCCGCTCCATTTAAAGTGCGTAAGAGATCTCCAAAAATAGTCATCGAAGTTGAGATTGCCCGTTGTGTACTCTCGACGCGAGACGACCGGATCATCAATTTTTTTACATTTGCTTGAAAATTTGAAAAGCGAAAGGGGAGACAAAAAACTTTGCAAAAAGGAGCGGACTGAATGAAGAGCCAGGAATTTTATTTTTTTTACGCACAAGGATGAAACACCGTCTGGTGCGGCATTCGCTGCCTGCCGTCAAAAAAGCTTAGTGCGCATTGTCCCGGAGAGGCCGAAAATCGTCGTTTCTCGCAAAAAGAACCTGTCTAAATTTTGATATTGCCAGATTTTTCCGTGCAAATTGCACTTTTACCAGGAAAGTTTTGAGAATTTTTGACTGAAAATTGTACTAATTTTTCTTCTGTTCTCATGGCGAAATCAGACACATTTTCGACGAAAATTATGCAGGTGTATTCTCGTAAAAAATTGAATTGTTCGAATCGATTTTGCAACCTTGGAATGAAGTTACGTTCCTTACTAGTTACTCTTTACTAGTTACTCCTACGCATGGGGAAACGACGAATTGTATGACTTCGTACGAACTGTTTGAGTCGTGACGCCGCGTTGTGGGGGAGTATGAAAATGTACCGAATCGGACCTAAAAAAAGAGAAGTCAAACTACGTTAGGAGGAAATTCGATGTATTTTGGCCTACATGATGACGTAGGTCGAAAATAGTCCGTCAGAGAGGCATTATTGGGGTCATTCAGAGGTTGGACGTTACGACGTCACGGTGGATTTGCACGGAGAAAAAAACTTCGTGCGTGGGACCCGAAGTTTAGGTCATATGGATCTCTGAATCTTTCGGATTGAGCATCTGAACACTATAGGCCTAGCGGTCGAGGTTCGGATCACACATCTGAAACTTCAGTTCTTACATCGGAAGTACTTCGAATTCAACATCCGAAAAACTTCGGTTCTCACATCCGGAAAACTTCGGTTCTCACATCTGAAGTACTTCAGATGTAAGAACTGAAGTTTCAGATGTGTGATCCGAACCTTGACAGCCAGATCTTAAGTGTTCAGATGCTTAATCTGAAAACTTCAGAGATCCGTATGACCTAAACTTCGGGTCCCACGCACGAGGTTTTTCTCTCCGTGTGGAATTTTGGAAAAATATAAATTCTCATAGGCACAGACGTACGGAGTACAAAGACGTACAAATCAATAAGCCAGTTCTTAATCATAGTTTCAAAGAATTTTTTGAATTTTTTCTGATGTGGCAGAAAGTGTATTAAATTTAAGATTTATAAAAAAGGCGTGTAGAGTATAGAACATATTGATGGCTCAAGTTGAGAAAAGCGTATTTTGGATGAAACGCTTAACAATATCCGACCACGATTGATTGTCGTAAAATACGGTAAAGAGAATGTTTCTTTTGAATTGTTTTACGAGTAGAAAAAGGAATTTAACAGAAAACTCAAGAGGAATTGGTGCGTGCGTTAAGTGAATAGAGGAGTTTTGCAATGTTGGAATCGAAGATACTCATTCTTCGACTTTAGCCATCGATGTGATAGATATGTACGCTTTACGATATTGGACGTTTAGGACGATGAATGATTTAAATGAACATGAATATTTTTTTAAAAAAATCATGCACGTATAATTGTGGCACGTGAAATGCATGGTCTCTCAAAACCTCCGTAAAGGATAGACTCGTTCCAATTTATGGCGTGCAGTTTGGGCAGGACGAGGTTTACAAGAAAGTCTAATACCTAGTGCTTCTGTGTGTAGTATACTCCTCTGTTCCTTTCTGCCTTCAAAGAAATACACAAGAAAAAGATACAAAATAGCCGTATTTAAAAAAAGCCTACTTTACCCTACAGGTCTATTTTCTCTATATTTTCACATGTTATAACTTGATACCAGATATTTGTAGAAGGTAAAATATTCACATAGACAATTATTTTTGAATCAGATCAAAAACTTGTCAATTTCCCGATAAAAAAGTCACTAGTATCCTAAAAAGAAGTAAAAATAGTTACAATAAAGGTCAGGGTCGGACTGGCTCGCATCTGAGGGCGTAGATCCTTGGCTGGTTAAAGACGCGTAATGTGATATTTCCTGATGGGGCATCCCCTTCGTGGAGAGGGGTTCAGAGAATTTTGGCAAAGCAGCACAAGTTTACGCTATTTTCAGGTTCACAGTTTATTAATCGTCCGGAGTAAAAATTGTAAAATTTAACTTATCGAAGTGACCGACAGACTTCTGAAATTAAAGAAAACAAAAAAAAAAATAAAGCCACTAGACGCACCCAAGCACCATTATTTCCATAAGAACCGTGTCAGTGCTGCGGTTTACACGAGCTTAAGACGTGGGTCTAAAAATTCATCCTAAAAAAGAATCAGGCAAGAACCTGAAAAAAGAAGAAAGAACGAGTATCAACATAGCCGACGACAAACTAGACGTATTTGGGTCTCCTTTTTAACTTTTCTCCCGAATCTGAGCAACACCTCATTGGCAGCATATAGCAGGGCATTGAGAACTCACGCTTCGCGTCATCGCGCCTTCAAATTTTCAGATGCAGCACGGACATCCATCAAGTACGAATAACTGTATCTCTGCGCCGTCGTTAACGCGCATCCTTTCCATCTCTCTATTTCCATGTTGTGTTTGTTTGCGTTTGTCTCATTTGTAATGTTGTTTTAAACTAAAGCAGAGCATTGCGAGTTCACAACTCACGCCATCGCATCTTACATTTTTCATATGCAATGTGGACATCCATCCTGCGAGAATAGTTGTATCGCGTTTACACTTTAGATCTCTCACTTTTGAATTTCGACATAAATTAAGGTTAAGTTTGCCCGAGATATGCTATGATATGTCCAAAACAATAGTCATTTTGAAAAGGAAGAAATATGTTTAAAATTCTATCAAGCGGTCTATAAAGTTTGCGTACATGTCTAAAAATCGAACAGGCTATCGATACTCTGCTAACATAGATGAAAAATCACGGAGAAACATTTTATTTTACCGATTTTTTCACCGATATTATTCGTCCGTAACAAGAAGACTAGGACGCGCTGACAACGGCGCCTTGATACAACTATACAACCTCGACGGATGTCCATATTGCGTTCAAAAAATTGAAGGCGTTTTGAATTTCAGCGCACTGACTCCAGCGCTTGATTAACGGACGCGATGGTGACAAGATATCGCCTTGATGCCTATTCAAGCTTTACGGATGTTCGTATCACATGTCGATGGTCAGAGTACAGGATCACGTATCTACATTGCGGTGTTTCAAAATTTCCGCTCCTATTCTATTATTCCGATGGGAAGAAATCGAACGTTACAACTTAATTTGTATGCCAGCATCGCTTCTACGCGAGTTACACATAGAGAATGAAGGAGGGGGATGATAAAGAGCCTGTATGTCAACAAAAAGGTGAAAATTTTACAGAAAAGTGTTTACGCTTCAGAAAGTAGTTCTTGGATCTCTGTTCACCACTATGCGTAAAAGCACCTCCCTTCACTCCTAACTCTCTCTTCTTCCGTTCATTTAAGAAATTTTCCGTTTATATTCTCGGTCTTAATTTTTTTTTCTCTTCTTATCTTGCTATCTGTCAGAGGCGCGCGTATCTGCCAACGGCAGATTGGCCTTATGGCCAGTCCGAGCCTGATAAAGGTGTCAGTTCATTTCTGTACTATTTAGAACATTTTGTATTTTTGCTCATAACAGTCGAAGTTTCAAACATGGTGAACTCAACACTTCAAATAGCGTTTCCTCCAAACTATTTTTTTCGAACTAAAATCTTTAACCCATCATATCCTCGACATGATTCGACAATCCAGACGCTCCTTGGGCCAATTTATTCACGAAAAAGACGTCTGTGCAGTGGGGCCTTCCAGCCAAAGCATCATAAGCGCCATGCGACATTTAAAAATTTCCGCCGCCACTTTATTTTTTTACAGGGAAATTGCTAGTTGAATCTGTTTGAAAATTTCACTGAATTTTACCGGCAGCACAAAGAAAATTCAGTGAAATTTTTCAGACAGCTTCGTTGAACAATTTCTCAGAAAATTAATAAAATGGCGACGGAAATTTTTAAACGTTGCATGGCACTTGTGATACTTTAGCCGGGGGGAGGTGACAAAATATTCACGCGCTCCATGAAGGTGTTTTGCACCGTGCGAGAAGTGTAAACAGCGTAGATTTGTCACTAACACCTTGATGCAACTATTTCAACTTCCATGCTGTCTGCATTGCATACGGAAAGAATTGAAGGGGCAAAATTTTCCGACAGCTTCGTCAAAAAATTTCTCTGTGAAAAAATAAAATGGCGGCGGAAATTTTTAAACGCTGCATGGCGCTTGTGATACTTTGGCCGGGAGGTAACGACATTTTGATATTGAGTTTTTCGGGATTTAGGGTCTTCTTCCATATTCAGTCAAATCCTTAATAGAAACTTGATTATGACAAAAGGTTCTGCTTTGCTTTAACTTGACCAGAGTTTACTTTTCTTGTTTCAGATAAAAATTTGGTTTCAAAACAGACGGGCGCGGGAACGGCGGGAGAGAGAAGCCGGAACTAATAATTCGGCGGGCGCAGAAAAGACCGGAAATGACGTCTCGAGTCTCCGCAAGTGCCAGCCTTTGGTCACATCTCCAGAGTCAGCCTTCGTTCCTTGTCGGCCTTTGAAGCTGTCCAGGTCGACATCGTTAGCTTTGCAAACAACTCAGGGCAGTCTGTACTCTTGAGCAGTGGCGATTCATGAAAGCTGGCGACACTGATTTTCCTCCATTTAAATGCATGTTAAACAATCGATTCTTAAAATCGATATCTTTAATAGATTTAAATGGAGGAAACACAGCGTTGCTAACTCGCAAAATCGGTACTACGTTCACTCCCTCGGCTGTCTTAGAAATTTTAAAGTGTAAAATGGATCTGCACAGTGATCCAAAAGCCCCTAACACCTTCAGGTTTTTTGCATCTTTTCAGGGCGGTCCCCTTTAAATTTCAATCCGTTTCAGTCAGTGGTGTGGCGTGAATTGCGATTGTTATATATCGATTGTTATGCCATTTAAACCTATGGAAAAGGATCGATATACAGGGTGTTTGCAGCGAACTCCTCAATAATCGATTATTTACTATAGGTTTAAATGGCATTACAATCGATACATCGCAACTCACGCCACGCCACTGGTTTCAACCGTTAAGTAATGTAGAAACGATCTTCCGCATAGGTATACCATACATTTCAGAAATTGACAATCGATAGATCGCCTAATTTTCTTCAAAAGCGATGTAGATCCGTTTTTGGCTTTATTGCTGACGAGAACAATTCGATAATCGATCGATCGATCAATGATTCCTGAATTTTAAGAAACTTTTTCAAAAGTTTCCGAAAGTCAAATCATGTTGTAGAGCGGTAGGTATGAACGGCAACTTTTTACAGGGAGCTGCAGTCGCCAGTTTTTTTGCATTGACTCTTTTTTCTTGGCGAGCAAAAATCTTAAAATGAGGACAATCCTTATTAATTAACAGCTGCCAGCTTTAATGGGATACATCCATCCACAGAATCTGATCAGAAGAATGCGTTGAATGATTCCAGGAACACGACTCTTGTGAATTTCGATGTTTCGACGGCGAACTGCGAAAAATGCGTCCTTCAATGTCGGTGTTTCGAGATCTCTACTCCTATTTTATGTTTTTAAAGGAGCCTTTTTTGATATGATTTGAAATTGTCGCAGAATTCTTTTTTTCGCATAAAGAGAGGAAGTATCACTGAAATTTTTAAAAAATGACGTTTAGTAATTTTCCATGTAGAAAATTAAGTATGATAGGCATAGTTCACAACGCCGTGCAAGGGATCGAGTCAATTCAATAGGAGAGGTCGGAGAAAATGTGGAAACTTTGAAAGCTAATAACTCCGTCTATACAAACTTTAGAGCTCCAAAATTGGCTCCATTGGTTTCTTCGTAAAATTTTCTTCTAGAAGAACTCCTTAAACTTTAAAATTTGACAAAATAAACATCAAAATGTTCAGTTTTCGTGAAAATTTCATGTTCGACCTCATGTATCAGTTCGATCCGCTGTGCGCCGTAAACCGAGATACGCATTTCTGCAGTCTCATCATCGATTTGTTTTGTCTCACAAGAATAAACAAATAGCGAAAAAAAATTCAAAAATTTAAAACAAAATTCGAAACTTTCATTCTCGAGATTTCCTTAGGGATTCTATCAAACCACTCACTTCAGCATCAATCAATCGTTAGGTACCTAAAACACCAAAGTATGATTTGAAATTTTAAAAAGGGGACCGGAAGGGGGGAGGAGGGTTTGAAAATTAAGAAACTATCGATCAGATGGCTTTGCCATCGGACCGTTTCCGTTAGAAGTGAGGATTCACTTCAAAAGTGCGCAAATAATAAAGCTCAGTAGAGCCAAATTGAAATACTTAAGCGACGGAAAGACATGGATGTGACCACACTAGAAAATGGGCAGCACATAAGTACCAGCGAAACCAACATGTTATCCTTGTGTCAGAAATAGCGTATCTGCTACTAATTTTCATATGGAGATAATAATCGTTTTGATCAATGCGTCCTTACATCTACTGGACGCAATCCGGGTATCCGTATACTCTGTTTGTTTTTCGCATTGCACGAATTCACCTTGGAAATGTATAGACGAAGTAATACTTATTTGTTATTACGTCATTTTCTGGACGAAAGAATGTAAGTAAATTTCACTGTTATCAAAATTCCAATCATACTTTTTATTTTCACCAGGAAATTATTGAGCATTTGTTGGTCCAATATTTCATAGAATTTATCTAAAACTACTGTGAAAAATCAGCGGAATTTGGGACAGAGATAATTATCTATACCTTAACCTAACCGGCAGTGTTAACACTGCCGGTTTGGCGGGTAAAATACATTTGTGTAAGTAAATTTTGCAACCTTGGAATGGAGTTACGTTCCTTCTTCTTGGAGACGGAGAATACAGCACTGTAAATAATGAGTGTAAATATCTGTAAAAATCCCAAAAATGTGAACATTTTTTGTGTACAATTTTGTATAATATAATGATCCTAGCCAGTCGAAAAACTTTTTATGTCATTCCTGTTTGTCAATTCAATTTCCTTTCAAGATATACTCTGGTTTTGATCATCAATGAGAGTTTCTGACTAGGATTGATACATTAGAATCATAAGAATCCCTTGCATTCTGCGCATTTTTTTGGTAGAATTAAAGTTTATTTCAAATTATTAACTAAAACTTTTCAGCCACGTACTGGCTGTCACCGGAGGGTAGAAGTGCATGCGTAAGCTTAATAAGAATAGGTTTTTTTCAAGCTTTATACTTTGTTTAAAGTTGTTGTAAAGTTCAAGATCATAAATGCTGTGATACAATCTCACTTTCAGTAAAAATGCGCAGCAGTAGTACAGCGATCTTCCCACAATAGAATTGATGCCTTAAAAGTTTTTGGTTGCTTTTTAAAATAGTATCTTAGCGGATTCTTTATGCTGAATACCACACCATAGCGTTATTTCAAAATAAAGGTCAATTTTGTAGAATATTTCAATGTTATATAACCCATTTTTTAAGTGCAATTCCCTTCGTTGAAGAACCAAAGTTCCTCAAACGTGGACATGACAGTTACATTTTTGAAAAGCATACGCCAGATTTTTCATCCTTTCATCTTTCTTTTCCCTTCCCCCTTCAAAATCTATTTTTTCTAAATAGAGAAAAATTAAATGACACACTGATAAGAGGTAAACAGCATATTTTTTACGCTTTTCCCCATAATTTCCTTTTTTTAAACAGAGGAAAAAGTGAAAATATAACTGTAAATAGTGTATTTTACCCCCTTCCCCCTTAATTTCTCTTGTTGATGAAGCGAGAATTATAAGGTAACAAGCTGATGAGGGGAAATTGGTATACACGATGCCATATCAAAACCGCATAGAATGAGCAACTATGCATTAGTTTGACAACACACTTTCGTTCCAGGATTTTTCCCTTCTAAAATCTCGAATTGCAGTGCACGACTGAGGGCAGGGTCTGGAAAATTCCACACCTCTCTGAATCTCAAATCCAAATCTATTGGAAAAATTAGGAAAAAAAGGGAAAGGTAACTTTCTTCGAGAATACACCAACAGTGGAAGTTTCGAAACATCGCAATCGAGGTATGCGCATGTCGATTCTGAAATAAATAAAATAAATAAAAAAATAAAAAAAAGTCGATCGCAAAAAAGATCCAGCACTCGTTAGCGAGGGTACTTTTTTCATAAATTGCCGTGCCGAGGGGAAAACTCCGTGTAAACCTGCAGACGTTGCCAAATTTTGTTCGATAAAACATGAACTCTCGGGAAACCTTGTGAGTAGTTTTCCACTGATTTGTTAGGGAATTTTATCATAGATTTAATCTGAAATATCCCAAAATTTCAAGAGGGAGCATTCATAACCATCCTCCTAAATCAATTTTTTTTCGGAGGAATTTTGGCGATTTCCGAGAGTCCGTAAGGTTTTTTTCCAGTTTCACGGCACACAGTGGATCGAGTTAGTAGGAGAGGTCGGAAAAAATTGGGAAAACTTTAAAAGCTCATAACTCCACCGTGGTACCGTTGGTTTCCTCGTAAAATTTTCTTCTAAAAGCACCCCTTGAAATTTAAAATGTGACGAAATAAACATCAAAATGTGCAGTTTTAGTCAAGAATTTCATGTCCGACCTTCCTGATTGACTCGATCCACTGTGCGGCAGTGCGCTGTATCCGCCATTTGCCGCACCGCGGAAAGTGGAAATGTAGCGGAGCACTGCCGTGTTAAGGAAAAACGTCGTATGAACCTTCAGGCGTTGCCAAATTTCCTTTCAAAAAGCGCGCATTTCCTGGTAAATTTATGAATATTTTCCTCCTAATTTCCAGATATATAGTTAACAATTTTACCTAAAGATTCAGAAAATTTAAAGGAAAAATTTTCATAACCTTCCTAAAAAATGAACATTTTATCGAAGGAAATCTGGCAATTCTCGAATGTCCATGCGGCGTTTTTCCTTAGCACGGCAGAGCAGCCATTTGCAATTTCGAGTTTTTGTGCCCTCGCTCTGCCTCGCGTCCCGGTGGATTTGCGGAAAATTTTAATCGCAGGTCGCTTGACGTGAGGCCGCAAACGAGGATCGAGGATGAGGAACGAAAGAAGAAGAAGATGAGCCCCCGCGGTGGTATAAAATGTCGAGCCTTTGCTGTCGCGTGGCATGGATTCGCCGAACGACGCGCCAGCACCATAATGGCTACCATCCGAGCTCTATCAGTCTGCCTCGTTGCAATCGTCGTCCTTGAGGTAAGTCACGAGAATTAATATCAAAAACTGTGTCTGATTCTAATTCATGTTCACCCGAAAATTAGCGTTTCTAAAATGTTTTAAAGAGTTTTATTTATTGTAACTTCCAATTAGAGGAAACATATCGACGGTGAAAGTCGGCAATCACATAACTCGTTTACGGTGTCTGAAAATCTCCGCCTCTACGTCATTTTTTTAAAGGAGAACAAATTGATAAAATTTCTTGAAGTTTTTGCAGAATTTTGTTCGCATTGAGAAGAAAAATCATGACAGTTTTAAAGAATTGCCGTTGAGTAGTTTTCCATTTAAAAAATAAAGTATGACAGGAGGTCTGCGACGTCGCAAACCAAGTTATGTGATTGCCGACTTTCACCGTCGATATACAATTAACATAAGTTAGAAATAATGTATGGTAAAGCAACGACTGGTTAATTGCTTAGTATCATAAAATTGTTTCTAAAATGATAGATTAAAATGCGTTGCGGTTAGGAGATTATCCAAAGGACACATGAAAATTATTTAACACACCGGAAAACGATTCATGAATTTATTTATTTAAAAACTTTCAAAATTTATGTACGTTTTACTTGACACCTTAAATTTTTATGTTAGACATTACTTTTGACGCCTTCGAAAGGAAGAGTTTCTAAGATAATAGATTAAAATGCGTTGCGGGCAAAAGATCATCCGAAGGACAAATGAAAATAGATTAACATAATAGAAAACGATTCACAATTTTATTTATATGAAATTTAAATTTTTTTACTTCCAAAATATACATACACTGAAAGGAGGGGGTACCATCTACTATAAGTCCACTTGATTTTTTACAAAGTGATGCAATTTAGTGAATATAATCAGAATTATAGTAGTATTTATTACCATACTCGGATCACTGTGTCAGAGTATACAGGGTGATCCAAAAGTCCCTTCCACCCCCTCTAAATTTTTACCTAATTAAGGTAAAGATTTGAAACTTGGGGGATATTCCTAGGTCAAAGGGAGCTACTTTTTGGCCCCCCTTAAATTTTCAGGGGGCCCCCCTTGGGGGGGCAACGGCCCCCAACTTTTAATTTTCAAATGGGAAGACCCCCTTTGTGATAGCTCGTTCGAAAGAGCATAAAAAAAGAAAACTTTTCGCGCAAACCCGAGGTCAATATCTCAAACCATTTCAAAATGGCGGCCGGTTAAAGTTCAAAATGGCCGAAAATTCACACCGGTTATTT